CAATCCTATGCAGCTTTTAATTTTTACTAACTCTTTTTACTAGATATGTAAATCACATTTTATTGTAACACCTTTTTAATTTTCTACATCTTTTTTTTTTTGTCTTTTTCCTTTTTATCAGTACCGGGGATCGAACTCACGACCGCCTGCGTGCAAGGTAGGTGCTTATGACGCTGAGCTAAATCCCCAGCCCCAATTTTCTACATCTTTAATTGCATTTTTGTTTCTCTTGTGAATCTTATCCTTTTTTGTATTTACTTAATACTCACCCACAAGTAGAATTAACAATAGCAAAATTCTGTTCACAAATGAAAAGTAAATAATGTATTTGAAATAACAGAACCTTAATAAAAGATTTTAGTAATCACCATTCAATTTCTTAGTTTTTAAAAAAGAAAATTTTAAACAAGGTTTATATTCAACTTCTTATCAAGATATTTCCTATTAAGAAATTATTTTCTAATCCTGGATACTGAAACAAAACTGGCTTGCTTAATTCAGTCATATAATTATTCAATTTTATTTAGTATGGAATTGCCACATAGAAATGTTTTGACCATCAAGGAAAATTACTCAAGACACTACATGTATATATGGGGTTTTTTGATCATTCTCAGGTCCACATTCAGCAAATTTGTAATATCTGTTTCCTCTCTGTAGAATTATTTTCCCTACGTAGTCACAAGACAAATGCTCTTATTTCCGTAAGGTTTCTATTCAATTATGTTTTTTTTTTTTTCAGAAAGAACTTTCACACTATCCTTAGTAAAGCATTCATTACATGTCCAAATATCTGTATTACCTGTCTCTACCACAGTCAGTATCTCTAGCAATGTCAGCTCTGTTAATAAGGAACTTTTAGGTACCCCATTTGCTGATAAGGTCAAAGTACACTGAATGTGTTCAGCATAAGAAACCTTGATAAATAAATATTTGTTTCAGCCAATGTTCTGCTCCATTGATCTTCAGGCCTGTTTATTTATTTATATTCGTTTATTGCCAGTACCATGCTATAGTATAATTTTAAGTCAGGGATTATGATGCTCCTGCTTTGCCTTTTTTGCCCAAAACTGTTTTTGCTATTTGAGTTCTCTTCTGGTTCCAAATGAATTTTAGAAATGTTTTCTTTAGTTCTGTGAGATATGCTAATGATATTTCGACTGGGATTGCATTAAATCTGTATAAGAATTTTGGAGATATGGCCATTTTCAGCATGTTGGTTCTTCATATCAATAAGCATGGGATAATTTCCTATTTTCTGATATCCTCTTTGATCTCTTTTTTTCAGAGCACTGAAATTTTTGTGCATAGGTTTTTGATTTCTTTGTTAGATAGATTCATAAGTATCTCATTTTTTGGATGCTATTTTGAAAGACGTAGTTACTCTAATTTCTGTCTCACTGAGTTTGTTGCTTGTGGACAGGAATGCTATTCATTTTTGAGCTTTGCTTTTTTTATCCAGCACATTACTGAATTTGGTAATTAAACTTAAAGTCTTTTGGTAGACTTGGGGTTTTCTCTGGAAAATACCATGTCATCTACAAATAATGATAATGTAACTTTTTCTTTTGCTATTTGTATTTATTTTATTTCTTTTTCTTGTCTAATTGCTCTGGCTAATGTTACTAGAACTATGGAGTAGAAGTAGTGTCTTATTGAGGACTTTTTCACCTACATTCATTAGGGGAAATAAGTTCAAACTCACTCAGCCATCTTACCACTGACAAAGGGTGCAAACTAGTCCACTAGCAAAAGATAGCCTCTTCAATAAATGGGGACTAAAACACCAGTGTTCTACATATCAAAGACTAAAACTAGACCAATGTCTACTACCACGTGCCAAACTAAAGTCAAAATGGATCAAATATACAAATATTAAAACAAAAACACTAAATCTGCCCAAACTGAGAATAGGAAGAACCCTTGTAGACATAGGTGTAGGCAAAGATTTCAAAACAAAACCCAAATTGCACATGAAAGAATTAACAACTGGGATCTTATATTACTGAAAAAATTTTGTACGGCAGAAGAAATAACCAACAGAGTTTAAAGACAACCCAAAAAATGGGAAAAAATTTAACAAGTTGTCCTTCAGATAAACGATTTATATTCAGAACACATAAAGAACAGAAAAAAAATCAGACCTTCAAATTTAAAGGCTGACTCTGAAAAAGAGTATCTGTGATGAATACATATTTCTTAGAGGAAGAAACACAGAAGCAAATAAATACATGAAAAATGTTCAACATCACTGGTCATTTGAGAAATGCAAATTAAAACAATACCAAGATTCCATCTCACTCCAGAAAGAATGGTTATCCTCAAAATATCAATCAATAACTAATGCTAGTGGGGCTGTGGAGAAAGGCAACCCCTCTCTGCTGTTGGTGGGACTGTAGACTGGGTCAGCCTCTGTGGAAATGTGTGAAGATTTCCCAAATGGAGGTCCCACTTGAGCCAGCCGTTCCCCTTCTGGGTATCCTTTTGGAAGAATTAAAAACATCACACCATACCAATACATACACACCCATGTTTATAAAGGCACAGTTTGTACTAGCTAACTCTTGGAAACTACTCAAATGCCCATCAATCCAAAAAATGGGTGAAAAAGATTTTTTTGTTTGTTTGCTTGTTTGTTTTTAAATAATGAAGAAGTACTTGTCCATAAAGAAAGATAAACTTGAGACATTTCTAATTAAATAGATGCACCTTGAGACCATTCTCTTACGAGAAACACATTAGACACATATGTGGAAACATCACATTGCCTCCATGGTGTGAGAAACTTAAAGAGTAAATAAGATCCAAAATATGAGACAGATATTGTGAAATAGGAAGAAATAACTCAAAATGAAATAGGAAGTAGTGAAAGAAAAGAGGAAAAGGAAGGAAAGAAAAAGAAAAAAGTAGAAAAGGATAAAATGGAAACAAAGGAGAAGGGATAGAAGGGAAGGGAGGAGATGGAGAAAAAACAGGGATCAAAATATACCATGTACAAGTACAAATTGATGAATAAGATCTTTATATATCTAAATTTTAAAAACCAACAAATGAAACAAGAGAGAATTCTCAAGATCAGATTTAAGAATGTGCCAAGAAAATTCTAGTAACAAACATTACTAATATTCACCCTTTCTCTCTGACTAGGATTTTACTGTAATTTCTTCAAGTAATGCAAATTACATAGAAAATGTTGGCTGGTATAGTTTTGGACATACACTCCCATTTAAATGTTCTGGCAGTGACACTAGAGAAAATCACTCTAGGCAATTTTGGGCCCTACTTTCTGTTTTCTAGGTTCAATGATCACTAAGTCACATACACCAATATGCTGGAAGAATTAAATATTGAGTTTTGTATTCTGATGGACCTGGTCATCCTGATGAGATTTATTATTGATATATTTGTTTATTAAAAACTGATTCTTTCCTATGTTCATCCTCTACACATTATTAAGACTAGGTAGCATGCACTATTAGACAGGATAGCCATCGATTCTAAATACATCTAGACTTTCAAGTACAGTACTGTCTTAGATTTTTTAAGAAGTCCACAGTATTTACTAATCATACAGCAGTATGTCTGCTAACTCACTTCTATCAAATACTCTTATTTGAACTTGAATTTGTATTTCACTGTCCCCTTATAAGGGGACTATAGTTACTACTTAGCTAAGTGTTGTTTACATCTACTAGAAAAGGGAAAAAGGAAAGGAAAAAAGAAATAAAGGGAAAGAATGAAAGGAAGAAAAGAAAAAAGGAAGAAAAATAGGGTGGAAAGAGAAGAAAAGAAAGAGAACGGAGGAGGAAGGGAGTGAGGAAGGAAGAAGACCAGGTGGAAATGAAGCCTGAAACCTCAGATCACACCGCATCATGCCGGGCCAGTAGTTAGACCAGGACATTCCAGGGAGCGTGCTGGCCCCCAGGGGCTCTCCTGACCTACTGCAATGAGCCTTTCCAGGCATTTGATAACCTGTAGTTTACCACGCCTTCCTCTGGATATTAGGCTTCAGTACTTCGCAGACAAGGAGGTTGCAATACACCTTTAACATCACTAGAGTTACAATTGGATCACTTAAGCCTGCATTTGAGTTACTGAAGGGTTAGTTAAACAGAATGACTCCAGCAGAAAGCTTCTGACAGAATAGGTCTGGAAGAAGACCCAAGAATTTGCAGTTCTAACAGACTCCCGTGTAATGACACATTCTTGATCAGAAAACAACACTCTGAAAATTATTATACTATTTCCTTCTTATCACCAGGTAAGCTGAAACACATTTCTTTGACGCTATCATAGAAACATTGTATCGTTTTTTTTCTCTAGCCTTGTAACTACCATAAGTAAGATGTTACCCTTTGAATTTTGTGACCAGAAATCAGATTCAAACAAATCTCTGCATTCTTCATACAAAAAGCAATGAAGAAGATGATGCTTAATTCACAACTTTTACTTGATCAAGGTAAAACACCAGTTTAAAGCTTAAAGGTCCTGCTGGCAATGCCTAGGTTATACACTATGAAAGACTCCACAACAAACCAGCAGAGAAAACCATCAGAGAACACAGAAGGCTTTCAGAGTCCACAATTCAGGGTCAGGCACAGATATTAGCTATGTCACCACATAACACCTAGTGGAATGAGCAAAAGCTAAGTTTTGAGACGCTGACTTTGGCTTGCTTATTATTTAGAGATCCAAATTGGGCCGCTGGGGCTTTAGGAATGGCGCTCTGCAGCTCGATCTGGCCACCGTGAACTCAGGCCTGTTGCGTCACCACTTCTCCTGTGGAATTTAAGGGGTGTGACTGCATCCTTTCCAATTCTGCATTCCACATGCGACAAAACTGATCCAGCTGTTTGTCTGAAAGAAATTCTTTGCTGTCCTTAAAAATTAAAAAGCAAGTGGATATCCGTCTTCCAGGGGCACGTCTCCAGCTGGAACCTGGTACAGGCAGTTGCGAAACAGAGACAGGCCCTGGAGATCATCTGCTTTTGAATTCTTACCTCGCCATAGGGGGGTTAGCCCCATCTTGCTTTTTGAAATGGCAGATTCTGGATGGAAGGTGCTGGCTTGGCCCAAAGCTCTTGAGAAGTGTTCATCCACTACTGACCCAATGTCTCCCTGGAAATAAGTGAAAATGACACAGCGAGAGTTAAGGTACTCCATCTCGGCAGGCTGGTCTTTCTCCTCCTCCTCCTCCTCCTCCTCCTCCTCCTCCTCCTCCTCCTCCTCCTCCTCTTGTTTGCTGGGAAGGGTGACTTCCAGAGAGTCCTGCATCTTGCTGTATACCGCTAACTTCTTCTGGGATAGAATAAACAAAACACAGTATCAAAGATAGTTGTTTAAAAAAAAAAGCATTAACTAGTTAACTTTTCACTCTACAAAAAAAGAATCTAAATATTAACATATGTTTGCAAACTGATTCTTCTTCATCTGTTTTTCTCCATCATTTCCCTCCCCAACCAGTTGTTTCCTTCTCACACTGAAAAAAAAAGTCAGTTATTCCAAATTTAGCAGACAAAAACATCCATCCATTATCAAATTATGTATTTGCAAAGTGTCACAAAGAATTCAATTTGAGGTTTTTCGGTTACTGTTTCAAAACCAGCTACATTAAAATAATGACTTTACGAAAAAGGATAGCGGTAGAACACTTTTAGTTTTTCTTCACATTTTTCATTCACTTGTAAAAATTTAATACACGGCAACATTTGAGTTTAGGATGGGCAAGAACAGAACATAGCAAACCTAACCGTCTGGGGGCAGGGTGGAGAAGAAAAGAGCTTTTCTCAAATGCAATAAATCAAAATAAAAACAGGAATGTAGCATCTTATAAAAAGACTTGGCAGATGTGCTGAACTCATTTCTCAAAAATCAAACTAAAATGACAAAATAAGTCTGTGTGAAGATCCATTTTGCATGGAACATATTTTTCAGATGTTTCACTTACCACCATTATCATAGACAACAAAAACATTTCATTCAGGCTTACTGAAAATAATATCAAATACTAGTAAGAACTAACTTTTCAAATAATAAAATGAGAAAATGATAACCTAAAATCTATTTTAAATATATGATCATGGGTGTAATATTATATAGTCTGTAAGCTATTCTTTTAACTTTATTTATCTCACCTAATCTGTACAATTCCAAAAGATGGTTATTACTCCTAACTATGTATTAAAGAAAAAGACATCTAGACCTAGAGAAGAGAAGTAACTTGCCAAAGGTCACAGGGCACATAAGTAATGGAATGAGAATTCATAATAAAACGTATAGGTGTAATGTGTTTGTATGTTTGTGTGTACATATATAGATAGATAGATAGATAGATAGATAGATAGATATGTATTTTGAGAGAACAGAGAAAGGATACATAGTGTGGGGGAAAATCATTAAAAATGTTGTAATCTGTACTGCTTTTCTGCCTGACAAGGTGATAATTAATTATTATTTTCTTAGTCATGTGTTCTAATATTTCCAAATATTTTCACTGAACATAAAATACTTGTATTATCAAAAACTGATTATGAATTATACACAAGAATGCCAAAGCTTACAAATGCATTATTTTAGTGACCAAAAAAAGTGTCTATACCATATATTTTTCTGAAAACTACAATCCTTTCTCATACAATTTTTCAAGAAAAGAAAAAAAACACTCGAAAATAAGTGTAAACAGAAAAAAATCATTCCAAAATACTCAGTAGTTTTGCAAATGTTTTCAAAACACATGAAACAGATTCTGTTTTCAACATAATTACTATATTCAAAGTCAATATTGTAAATTATAAATGTATCATTTTATAAATGGACACCGTCACCCATGAATGAGTACGTTGTTCATTCATATGTGGGATGGGTGCTGAATATATGAAATGGGCCCTGAAATGTTCAGGTATGTTAGGGGGTACAAATTACCATGATGGGCTGTTATTTATAAATACATGTCACATTTTATTTAGAATGTTGATTCGTTTATCACTTGATGAAGAGATAAATCACTCCTTATAAATGAATATGCCTTGCTGATAAATAGGTGATTATGAAAGCCTAATTATATTTCTTATGTCTTTTTTCACAGAGGTGAACATTTCTATATTTTGATATATTTAAATAGCAAAAACACCGTAACAACACAGTTTATGTGTAAAATGAGACTAAAACTAAATGACCTCTAAAGCTACTACTAGTTTTAAATTACACTGTAAAAATTAAACAAATACTATGATTTACTGCTCAAATCATGGTGCTGTTTCCCGGTGTGGTGTGGATTTATGCAAAGCATATACTGTTGTAGCATATGCAAATACTGTCTCTTGAATATTCTGGCATATTTTCTATGGAAAGGAAATTAAAATTGAACTGCAGGGTAGCTTACTCTCTACAAGTGTTCATTATTATCTATAAAACTGATTTCTTTTTCCTGTTAATGTCCATCTCAGCATTAATTTGTCAGGCAGGCTTTGCATATAATTGTTTCATTTGTTTAGCTGTAGTATTTATTCTTTAAATAAGAGCCTTAATTGTGCGAATTACACAGATAAAGGCAAGGATATATTTTACCCTCAATTAATTGCAATTAATTCTTAGATAAAATAAAATTAAGTTAATTTGTACAAGATTTGAAAATTGGAAATTGTAATACAAATATAAAATTGTTTTGTGATAAATAATACCCATTGTAAAAGACCTTAAATTTTAATTGATAACTGAATTTAAGCTACAGATTATAAATCTATGTATGGTAACTAGTATCTAATTCTGTGAACTTTTGCTACTAAATTTTCAAATGATACCATTTGATATAAACAAGTTTATCTTTAGAATTAATACTTTTCAGTATAAAATGAGAAAAAGATAAGCAAAACTTGCCATTGTATTAAAATGTCATTAGTCTAGTATTTAAAAATCATTCTTCTGTCAATACATACACTGATATTCTTTAAATTCCATACATGTAATAATCTCTACTCAAATAAATATGCATGCCACAAAGTTCCCTTTTGATATTATAAAGAACCATGGTTCTATAGGAAAGGGAACCTATGCTATATCTACCATGAGGCAGGACACTGGGATATTTATTTCCTTGTGTGCTTTTTTCAGATAAAGTTGAACTAATTTTCACATGTAATTGTGAAAAAATTTAAAAATTAACATTTTTAATACACAAGCATATGTAGACAATAATAATCAACACTGCTAGTTAAAATAAGAATTTCAAAGTACATAAATAGCCCAATAACTAACTAAAATGCTAAATTTGATTTTGCATAAATGTTTGAACTTTAAGTATGACTCTGAACAAGACAAGAACCCAAAAAGATAACAATGGACTTGGTCTGACACTGACAACATCTTAACTTTTATCTATGGAGTCCTGAGCCTCTGCTTTCGGGTACAAGTGCTTCAGTGAATATCAATAAATTCCTCACTTCTTAAAATAAACTTATCACAACTGGTCATGTTTACTTTTCTCATATTCTACATTCACTTTTTATATAATTGTTGGAATGAAATATCCCTGGTGTTGCGTTCTTCTCTGGAAATATCATATATTGTTCAAAATACAGAGATTAAGCCAGTCATAGGGGCACAATCCTGTAATCCCAGCACTCAGGAGACTGAGGCAGGAGGATTGTTACAAATTCAAGATCAGCCTGGACTACAAAGTGAGCCCAAGGCCAGCCTGAACTTCATAATGAGATACTATCTCAAAAAGAAAAAGAAAAATCAAGATCAAATCTCAAATCATCAGCACCTAGATTTGTGGAATCAAAATCAAAATACAATTTAGTGCATATTTTTCTCAAAATGTACAATCACTCCTTAAATATCCAAATCTCATAAATATTCATGCTTTTTTTTCTCCCAAGACCCTAAAGAATTGTTAACAAAACTAAAGAAATCATTAAAAGACATTTCATAGACTACCAGTTGTCTTAATATATATTTATGCTTCATTTTCACTGCTTAATAATGATAAATTTTCCCCAGGAAATACGGCTTTGGAGTTGGGTGACACAATGAATGGGTTAAGAGCTACAAGGTTAAGCTAATGCACAAAAGTGCAAAGTAAAAGAGTAAAACAGAGTTGGCATAAGCAGATCCAACCACTGCAGACCACCTCAAAGCCTGCCACTAGGCAGGAGAGAAACAAACGTGAGATGGAATGTGCAGGAGAAAGGATTGGTCTGACAGGAGAAAGACTTCCATGTCAGGAGCCAAATACCACGAACTCTCCGAGGATTAAGCCTGTAAAATGCCAAATGATTACTGTGCATGTGTGGAAACTTTTTTTCTAAGGAAACAAAAGTATTTTAATGAATCACTGAAGTCATTGGATATTTAGAAACAGCTATTTAAAAAATATTTATGAGTTATCTTCTTTAAATGCAGTAATTCTTTTTTTGTCCAAACACAAGGATGGAACCCACAGAAAGAATCATCATTCTAGGGAAAGTGTTTTAAGATCATAAAGTCCACAAAACCATCTCATTCATTTCTGAGTATATTTTTCTTAATTTACTTGTATAGTGAATTTTTAAAAATATCTCAGAGACAGTTGAAATTTTAATTCTTATCCTATTTGGAAGTATCTGGATCAGGATGAATTGTGTTAGCTTAGAGGAAATAGAGCAGAGATCTTTTGCATATTTTATTTCATTTAGTTCCCACACACAAATATTCTGACAGAATAATCATTTTCAACTTATATATGCAAAAAATAGTTTGCTTTACCAGGATCACCTCACCAATAAGTGGTAGAGGAGAGATTAGAACTTCTTTCAGACAACAAGGCTCATGTCAAGAAAATAGTCTACAGAACATGAGTCTATATAAGATAATTACTTGGTTAAATAAACACAGACACTCCCACAGTCAGCATGGATCACACAATAAGGGATAACTGAAAGTTGTTTATATATTAAAATATTAGAGGAAAAAAGCATATCAGAGATACAGCTATTAAGTACTGCCGTGTTCTTAAGATATATGTATATCTTGATGAAACAGAACTCTGTATCTAAAAAATGTACTGCCCTCTGACAATCAGACACATAATATATTTGGCTGTAATTTTTCTAGAAATTTTATTCTTCAAATGTGAGCAAAATTGGGTTGTGAGAAACAGTCACACTTCAGATACTATTGATTTTTATTTGCTTGCTTTTTCAAATTTTTTAATAACAGTAATATTATTTAAAAATAATATTACTTAATATGATAAACTGCTTTTGAGAACACTACCTACAAAGTCTGGTCATTATCAAAAATCTAGCCTACTCCTCCAA